GGGGGATGGGCTGAAATTCGGAATCTCAAGAGCCGGCCCTGGGCGGGGCTGCGGGTGCAGCAAGCGCTGGGGCCCCTGGGCCCCCACAGGCGGGGCCGGCACTTACAAAGCAGCTGAGCATGGAGCAGGATACGCGGGCGGTCAGGCTCATGGTCGCGGGAGGTCTGGGCCAGCGCACATGTCCCCGGAGCTGCTGCGCTGCCGCCCAGTCCCAGGCGCTCGCCGCATCCCGGCTGCGGGGCCCGACAGATGCAGCCGCGGCGGCCAGGAGGCGAGAGCACTGGCGGCGGGGCCTCCGCGCGGCTCCCGCGCGCCTCTCCCCTCCTCTCCACAATAGAGCGAGCCCAGCTCCGCCCTCCCGCACGAGCGCGGAAGGGAGGGGAGCCAGCGGAGGGGACAGCCCGGGACCGCGCCGGGAAGGCAGGGACGGGGCGGGTTCTCGGAGCCCCGCCCACAGACCAAGGCCCCGCCCCCTGCAACCCCTCAGCCGCGTGGGAGGTAGTCCTCAGGGGATGTCTTGGGGCTTTCAGTGGGGCTGTTCCCAGACAGCGCGAAAGGGGAAGGCGAGACGCCTACATCTTTTCACTTCCCATCTTCCCAGGTGAGCCACCCAGAAACCCTGTTTTCACACGTCTGTCCTCTCGCCCTCCCCTCCTCTCTGAGTTCCCCCAATACGTGTTCTGAATTGCCAAGATGAAGGTCACTTACCTCTATCCACCCCATGCCCTTTCCAGTTTCAAGGCTTCCTCCTTTTCCTCCAGAACCACCACCCACAGTACCCCTGACCATCAGTGTCCTCCAGTCCCCTGACCTCACTAAATCCCACTCCCTTTTTTCCCCTTAGAGTGGACACTGGGCTAGTGCCAGGTTGGTCATGCCACACCCCTAAAAGGGAAATTCCCTGAGTTTTTAATTCCAAGGCCCCCGCCCAGCCTTACTCCTTTCGCTCCATCTCCCCCTTGTTTCACATCCTCTGACTTCTGAATAAGAAAGTCTTTCTTGGAAGAGAAAAAATTTCTTAGGCTGGGAAACAAAAGAGCTGGAACTATGGACCACAGAAGCTATACAAAAACAAACTTGAAACCCAAGGGTAGAGGGATGATGGGAGTTGGGTAGAGGGCCAAAGAATAGGGAGCAGTGATAAGAGGCTCAAAATGTCACCAAGAGTCACAGGTAGAGCTGGTTGGAACACCACACTTCCTGTGCCTGGTAACTTTCAGAAACCGGGGCTTTGGTTTAGGTTTGGGTTTTGGAAGAAGAGAAGAATGGGAGAAAAACCTGACATTTTATTAAGCCAGACATATTTCAAACATTATCTCACGAAAACCTTTTGATTCCCCAAGAAGTGAGCCTTATCCTGTTTTACTGGTGAGACTTCAGACTTAGAGAGAAAGTATGCAGTTTAGTTAATGGAAAATATAGAGAATCATTATAACCACCCCCAACCCTCCAACGATATTCTGGGCACCTTGGGGGTGCTATCCTGCTATATATCCAATAACCTGTTGCCTGCAATAGCTTAACAGACAACAGCACCTTGGAGATGGAGAAGCCCCACACTTTTCGTGGAGTCACTCTTGATATAGCACCCACAAATTCAAGGGCCCCAGTAGGAAGTACAAGGATCTTGAGATAAAAGCGGCCTAGCTTTTCAGGCCAGACAGAGAGTTTCTACCAGGGACCCAAGAAAAGCAAGATAAGGGCCATTATAAAGAGCTAAGAGAGCCGGTGGTAGTGTGGGGAAAGTATGGCATTGCACATGCAGAAAAAGACTTCTAGAGGCTTCCTGTCCCAGTGCCATATGTTGGCTGATGTTTTGCAATCCAAAGAAACTCTAATTTATCTCCAGAGCAGATGAACCTGTTTAGGAGCTAAACAGAGTAGCCTGGAGCTCAAGGTCCAGGAGGGGCGGGGCAGCTTCACTGAGAAAGACACAAGGATTACAGAAAACACAAAGGTCTGAAGAAAGAGAGAGCACTCACCATTCTACCGTGGTGAGGGTCCTGGCTGCCTGCTTCTCACTGTAAGGAGACAGGAACATAAGAGTAAAGAACACCATTAACATTACTATAGAATCAATAAATGCCATACATCTACTCTTGAACTTCTCTACAACCCTTATTCTCCTCCCTCACAGAGAATCCAGCTTCTCCACAGGTCACCATGCCAGAAGCAATGGGAGCTACATGGGGAGAAAGCAACAAGTGATTCTGCAGGGCATAAAGTCTGCCACAAAGTTCTGTAGCAGG